TCATATCAATCTTGGGTCTAATTCAGAAAAAAAATATGGAGGTGAACTTGTACGATTGATTAGTGTAGGCCAACCGGCCGGCCAGGTGGCAACAAGATTAGGTTAGGTGGCAGCAAGCTTCATTGTGGAGCCTTAATCATGTGGTGATATTTTTCTCTTCTTCTTCCTCCTGGTGGGCCCAACAACTCAGCATCGACCAATCCACATCCGGCTGAAAGCCAGCCGGCGCAACAGGAAGCAGGAAATATCACAGCACTGCCCCCCTCCCTCTCCATGATGAACAAGGTGAAGTTTAAGGAGAAGCAACAGGACACGATTAGTTTTAAGGTGATGATCATTAATCGAGGACAGGAACATGGGGGTGCATGGCTGAGGGTTCAGACAAGCGACGGATAACGTTGATCGGGCACCAAACCAACCCAAATCACATCCCACCACCCTCCACATCAGCAATCAATAATCTAATCCAGCTCCCCCCTCTGCCTTCGCCGTCGCGCCACCCCCGGTGAACGCGTGCACACCTCCATCTCCATCTCCGTCCCCATCGCCATCGCCGTCGCCGTCTCAGGGCCCGGCGGTGTTCTCGCGATCTCCTCCGGTCAATCATTGTGAGGTCTACATTAGTAGCAGACTAGCAGTGATACCAAAAGTTACCTCACTGGTAATATAGAATGGTATCCAAGCCAGACAGTTACTTCTATGTCTAATTAACCTGTTAATTTTGTGCCAGCAAATGTGAAAGTGACCTCACTAATTACCCCTAATCATTCTCTACCACCAAGTCAAGAGCAAGTCTTTTTGTACCAGTACAATTATTTTTTCACCTCTCCTTTTCATGCACCATTGTCCAATCAAAATCAACCTCTCCAAACCAAAAAGAGTGATGCAAAAAATGTACTTCCCCGTCCCCATAATATAAGAGCGTTTTTGACACTACAATAGCGTAAAAAACGTTCTTATATTATGGGACGGAGGGAGTACTATACTATTCCCGGCGCCACAAAAATCCAAGGCCGGTCCACCTCCATGGCAAATTCTCAAACAGCATCCATCGCCATTAATCATGGACGTGCATGTGAGGATGCGGTGAGAGCACCGGGACAGAGTTGGTCCGGCTCCACAGGAGCCAGCCACATTTTCTCTGTTTCTGGAAATACAGAAAATATTTTCCTCATTTGGTTGCAGACATCCCATCGACTGGTGGGGGGAGCCGCAGGAAAATAATATCCATGGCGGGCAATCTACTAGGAGGCCATGTGGAGCTCGCCAAGTGGTCAATGGCCCGTTGCCAAGTGTTCCATTGTTAACCTCTTCTGGTGCCAAGTAGTTTCCCCACGAGCTCCACGAGCAGACCAGCTCCTCCCTCCTCCTCCTCGTCGTCCTCCTCCTCAGCGTGTTCTCGGGGATACCTCCATCCATGGAGATGGAGGCTTCTAGCTGACGAGGCTGGTGGCTTCCGGATTGGTACGTACGTGCTGTTGGTGCATGCATGATTGCCGCTTGCGCCCCCACCATTAGTTGGTTGGAGCTCGCTCCGGTTCTTGTCCAGCTCTGTTTTCGCGAGCCGGTGGTTGCAGATCTTAGCTCCTGTTCATAGCTTGCTAGGCCACAGATTGCAGATTTCTTTCTAGGTGGAGGATTAGTTAGGTCGCTCGCTGTTCTTGAATCGAATCTGGAGGAGAGGAGAGGAGATTCTTGCAGATTCAGTAGTGTAGAGGAGAAGCAGAGATTTGAATCTTGAGGGTGGGGGCAAGCAATGGCGATGGAGCCGACGGTGAAGGTGGCGCTGGGGACGGCGGCGTTCGGCATCTTCTGGGTGCTGGCGGTGTTCCCGGCGGTGCCCTTCCTGCCCATCGGCCGCACGGCGGGGTCGCTGCTGGGGGCCATGCTCATGGTGCTCCTCAACGTCATCACCGCCGACGAGGCCTACGCCGCGGTGGACCTGCCCATCCTCGGCCTGCTCTTCGGCACCATGGTCGTCAGCGTCTACCTGGAGCGCGCCGACATGTTCCGCCACCTCGGCCGCGCGCTCTCGTGGCGGAGCCAGGGCGGCAAGGACCTGCTCCTCCGCACCTGCGCCGTCTCCGCGCTCGCGTCCGCGCTCTTCACCAACGACACCTGCTGCGTCGTCCTCACCGAGTTCATCCTCAAGATCGCCCGCCAGAACAACCTCCCGCCCAAGCCGTTTCTCCTCGCGCTCGCCTCCTCGGCCAACATCGGCTCCGCGGCCACCCCCATCGGCAACCCGCAGAACCTCGTCATCGCCGTGCAGAGCGGCATCTCCTTCGGCGACTTCGTCTTCGGCATCCTGCCGGCCACCCTCGTCGGCGTCGTCGTCAACGCCGCCATCCTCCTCTGCCTCTACTGGCGGGAGCTGTCGGACGAGAAGTGCGTCGACGTGTCCCACGACGCGCTCCCCGCCGAGGTCGTCGACGAGGACGACGTCACCTCGCACCGCTTCTCGCCGGCCACCATGTCGCACCCGCGCCGCGGCCGCCTCCCCGACGGCTCTGTCCTTCCCGACGCGGCCGGCTGCGACGCGCACTGCTCATGCGAGCCGGTGAAGCCTGGCTCCGTCAACGGCGACGTAGCCAAGGTGGCGCCCGACGGCGTCGGGATCCACCAGAGGCGTGGCTCTGCCGCCAGAGTGACGGCCAAGGAGGGGGATGAGTACTGCTGCTTCAACTCGACGGAGGAGAAGGAGGCGGCCATGGACGAGGAGTGGAAGAACAGGCTGTGGAAGACGTGCGTGTACGCCATTACCTTCGGCATGCTCGTGGCGCTGCTGCTGGGCCTGAACATGTCCTGGAGCGCCATTACCGCCGCCCTGGCGCTCATCGTCCTCGACTTCAAGGACGCCCGCCCCTGCCTCGAGAAGGTAACTGTCTCTCTGCCTGTCTGTCTGCAGTTAACTGAACCAACAACTTGTCTGCGAAATGAATTCACCAGTTCCCATCTTGAATGAAACTTTTGTTGACAACTGAAATAATTCAAATGGTTTGGTCGAATTTAACACCTGTTTGCACAAAAATAGATTACCGTTCGAGATTGATTGTTCACAGCAAACTTCTACAGTCACCGTGAAGCAACAGGCGTCTGTCAGTCGTCTGTCTACAGTTAAACTGAACCAGCAAGTCTGCAAGATGAATTTACCAATTCCCATTTTTGAATGAAATTTTTGTTTACGAATTGGAATAATTCAAATTGTTTGATCGGATTTTACACCTGCTCACACCAAATTGGATTGGCCAGTGTGTTCTTTCTGAAACTAAAACTCACACCAGAATTACTTACTACTGTGCATCCCAATCGTTGTTGCTTACTGTGGTGCTGCTGAAAAACAAATTTCAGGTCTCCTACCCACTGCTGCTCTTCTTCTGTGGGATGTTCATCACGGTGGATGGCTTCAACAAGACCGGCATTCCGAGCACGTTCTGGGAGTTCATGGAGCCCTACGCGCGGATCGACACGCCCACCGGGGTGGTCATCCTCGCCCTGGTCATCCTTCTCCTCTCTAATGTCGCGTCGAATGTCCCGACCGGTTAGTTCCTCTCCCCCTCCCCCCCTCATTGCGGAATACATGCTCCATTTATCACAATATATGAAAATTAGAGTGAATTTCGTCTATTTTTGTGCAAATTTCATATATGCTTCTAAACTGTGATTAATCAGACAGCAGTAAGCAGGGTCACCAAACAATGGCACGATTCATTTTTGGATCAGCCGTGCAATAATTTCTGAATGTGTTAGATGCTAGCCAGGCTGTGAGGTCCCAACTTCTATCAGATCGGCCAATCATTCATTCTACTAAAGAACAAGAGATCCAGCTGAACATGCCAAATCCCCTGCACCACAAACATACTACTGACAGACTCTGCATTGGTTTTGTGCTTTGTTGCAGTCCTGCTGCTCGGCGCACGGGTGGCGGCCTCGGCGGCGGCGATCTCCCCGGCGGCGGAGACCAACGCGTGGCTGATCCTGGCGTGGGTGAGCACGGTGGCCGGCAACCTGTCGCTGCTGGGGTCGGCGGCGAACCTGATCGTGTGCGAGCAGGCGCGCCGGTCCCAGCAGTTTGGCTACACCCTCTCCTTCTTCAGCCACCTCCAGTTCGGCTTCCCGGCGACGCTCATCGTCACCGGCATCGGCCTGCTGCTCATCAAAAGCAACTGAACAAAGAGAGATCATGGTTATCAACACCAACAGCAACAGAAGAAGATATGATTCATATGGATATATAGGCATGTAAATTTTTAAAATTGTGAATGTTGGGCCGTCATTTGTGGCCTGTGGGGTAAGTCTTGTGCCACAAAGAAGCTGGGAGGCCCCCGAGCACGGATGATGCAATTCATGGTGGTGCTCGGAGGCTTTTTGGGTTGTACATTCTATATATATTGAAAAAGAGGAGGAGGAAGAAGAAGATGTACATGAGTAGCAGATGTCTCAGTCAAGCAAGTAAAATGAGGTGTATATTTGTTCAGTATTCACGATGAATTGGATGGTACACATTGCAATCTGTTGACCGATCAACCAAGTGGGAAAAGATCATGCATGCATCCAGCTTGACATGTGGCCCCTGTCTCCACATGCCATCCTCGTAGGCACAATGCATTCCATGTGCAACATTGGTCCATCTTCACTAGTCCTGGCCATGGGCAGCCCGGCCCGAACAGCCCGACCTGACCCGGCCCAAAAAAGCCCGGCCCGGTCTTGCCCATGGGCCAGGTCCGGGCCTAGGTTTTGAGACCGAAGGCCGGGCTGAGCCGGGCCCAGGCCCACCATATTCGCTGTTTTATGAAGAGGTCTAGCGGGCTTTTGCAGTGGAGGGTCGGGCTCAGGCCCGAGTTTTCTGCCTCGGGCTTGGTCAGGCCCGACCCGGCGGATGGCCAGGTATAATCTTCACCATGCTTGTTTTTCCTTAAAGAGAGTTACGTGTTGTGGGCCATATCACCAACCTTAAAAAAAATTAGAAAAGGAGGATTGCCCCCGGCAGACCATGATGATGGTATGGTAGTTTAGTCGCGGGGTGAGCATCGATGTAGCATGGGCCGTAAGGGAATGCGACGGAGACGCCATGAACATGCTCTCCAATTGTGCTTCGTATTGCTAGATCAAGCTTTGGTGTCCAAACTATGATGGCTTAAGCTATTTTCGTGTATGATATTATGTACTAGTAGATGCTAGTGTTTTTATTCCAGTTTCTCTGTTTTTCAGTTTAATGTGGTCGAGGTCTGCTGGTCACTTCTCCCATTTTATGTGGTAGATGCTAGTGTTTTTACTCCATGAACATACTTTCCTTCTCTCGTTTGCATGTTGCACTATCTTATCTAACGCAGCGAGGATGTCCATGCAAATCTTTTAGTACTAGCTATGCGAAGTACTACTAATTAATAATTAGCCAGGACTAAGGGAGTGTTCGGAATCCCTCAGCTCCCAGACTCGGCTCCGCGGAGCCGCCGGAGTTGTAGCCTAAAATACTGGAGCTGAAAATTAGGTGCTCTGCAACTCCTCTAATTTTACGGATCTGGTGGATATCCGAACAGTGCCTAAATATATAAGTTCTTAGATCCTCTCTCAAGTATGCATAGATCATCCATCTGCTTTTCGTGTGCATCCAGCTGATAAACAGGCTGGTAATTAAAAGAAACAAGAATTCATTATATCTCTCTGATCCATCAACCGTGCTCGATCCAACACGTAGCTCATCATCCATAGCAAAGTCGCAACATATTCGAGGATACGTACTACATAGGCTCTACCTTCATCACGCTTCTTCTTCCCTTCCAAGGAGCCCTCTTCGCTTTTGATTTCACCATCTTCATCTTCATGTGCATCCCAGCTATGATTGTGACCATCGTCATCAACATCGTTGGTTGTGCCATTGAAGTCATCCTCCTCATGGATGCATTCTTCTTCATCGTCATCACCGTCACCATCGACGTCATCGGTCATGTCGCTCTGGTCAGCATCCTCATCATATATGATTTCCTTCGTGTTACAAGGTTCGAACAAGCTGACTAATGTATTCTTTTCGACCACATCCCACAACACTCTAGGCTCCCTCTGCTCTTGTATTTTAACTTCATACAGACTAAGGTCTGCCTCATGTGCTAGCATCCAGCGCACCTGGCCATCGACTAATTCCGTCAATGTCCATACCTGTAGGATGAATTTGTCAAGCGCCACATAGTGAACCCCGCTCTCGTAGTTCGCTACCACGGCCCTGTCGAGCAGCTTGGAATACCCTAGATACTGGTTTTCATCGTAAGCTTTCCCTGGAAGTTGAGCCATGTCATACGTCCCATCCGAAATGTGCAGGATCATGATGATGTTGTTCCGACAATGTACATAGAGCGACCCCCGCCAGTACTCAGCCGACTTCCACATACCCACACTCGTGTATCGTGGCGCAGTCACCATGTCACAGAGATGCCCAACGGCGCAAGGCCCCGGCACAAACTCCCGGCTAGCCCATTGGCCGGTCTGTGAAGAGAACACCAATACAGAAATCACCTTATCCTCTGGCTCCTCAGCCCCTAGTGTTGTAATCCTGGTACATTCTTGGGTATTTTCTGATGGGAGCTTGAAAACTTGATAGTGCAGCGACACGGCCGGGTCAAAAGCAAGGAACATGTAATTGTCCTTTGACAACCGCAACCCCTTCTTTGGGAGGGGAGCACATCGTACGGTCGCGGGGTTGCAGACATAATATGAACCATAATATGATGGATAATCATTCTCAAGGAGGAGGAGGAGGCCATTGCAGTGATGGATCACGGAGGCCCAACCATGCCGGAAAACAGGATGACGGAAGACAGGCCCGTCATGAGGTCCGTGTAGCCGAGCCGAGCGCGCCGGCAACGATGGGGCCAAGAACGAGGATTTATCGTCGCAATTATAATTCTTGGTGAAGATGCCAGGGAAGGAGGCTGGAAACATGTATCGAAAGAGGAGCTTGTGGCCGTCGACGATTGCGCGCCACGCGCGGCAGACCCGCCGGGACTCCGCGAGCGGGCGGCAGGGGAGCTGGCGGAGGATGTGGAGGAGCACGTCGTAGGGGAAGCAGATGCCGTTGCCGTCGCCGTTGTTCACGTCCATCGGGGGTGCAGATCGATCAAGTCGGCCGATGGGTCGATGGAGAGCAACAAAAAGACTTGTATAAATAGTACCTGCTGGCTAGGTAGATCGAGTCCGGCCGGAAAAAAAAAATCCTATGAGAGCAGGTCTCATAGGCACGTGAGACCCTACTGGATGAGCGACACGTGGCGTCTACAATCTCAAAGCATGGTAATCCCACTTACGTCTATCCTCAATCCCGAACAGCTGATTCCCGACTCCTAAAGCACACGTACGATACTTCGTCACGCTAACAGGTATGTGGGATTAGGGTTTTCTTATTTTCCTCACGTCTATGGCAGCCACGCCGCAGGGCCTCGACGGCGGCGGCGAAACGACACGACGCAGCGACGACCTCTCGTCCATGGCCGCGCCGAGGGAGCTCGTCGTCGGCGACCTCTCGTCCATGACCTCGCCCAAAAAGAGCTCGTCGCCGGCGGCCTATCGGACGGCTCGTCCATGAAGGATGCAAGGCACATTGTTGGCCCGGCGGACAGCATGTTCACGGCGGCCGTGCGCCAAGGCATCGTCGTGGATGGCCGGACCAACTCCCTGTCGAGGGCGGCCACGCGCCACTGCAGCCGCACAACGACAGCGACCATAAGAGGCGCTGATGCCGGTGGCAGGTCGCACTCCTCGTCGAGGACTACTCCGCCCAGGGTGAGCGTGAGATGCATGCTTGCATAGAATATGCATGTGAAAGCCATGTGCTAGCTTGGTTGATCAATTCCAGTAGTACTCCCATGCACAATAGAAAGCGATTCTATGCATTTTAGTTGAAGCAATGAGCTCATGTGTTCTTTTCTTTTTTACGTGTAGATTTTACCTTTTAGATATGTAAACAAATGTTGGTACTAATTTTTAGTGCATTTTACATGGACTATTTTTTTACGGTGCTACGGCAGGCTTATGCCGGCCTGAACCATTTTCATTTTATACGATAGAAAGCATGGTTCGAAAAGAAATATATATGAGAGAAAGATACAAGACATCAGGTACAACAGATAGCAACCAACATACACAAGAAGGCACAAGAAAAAACAAAAGAAGAACCAGAAAAGAGTTGTGACAAGCAGCCAACACTAAGAACTTAGCACCCAACACCACTAGTTGGACCGAGAAGAGCGGAAACAAGCTTTGTTGAATCAATCGAAAGAAGATCCGTCACCGAGAAGACGTAGAGAAGAAGTTGCCGGCTGCCCTGCGATCACTCTGCACCTTGAAGAGCTAGAAAGTCGCAACCACCGTCGAAGGGCATCCCACTGCCTAGCCACGTCGCGGCAAAGAGAGCCACATACCATGCCGAAGGGCAATGTTCCACCGAGACAGGCCCTGCACCTCATCTAGGCCAGACCACAACCACCATAAAAAATAGAGAGAACCAAAACACTATGCTAGGCAACAAAGCCTCAGACGCCGTCAAAGGGCACCGAACACCGAGACCTCATCGTCGCCACGAGCCCCCAAGAGATAGGTCAACCATCAACACCGAGGTAACCAAGGGATTGGTCACCACCACAGATCACTTCCACCGCCACCACCCTGCACACCAACAACCCAACAAACACTCAAATCCAGACATCAAGCTGCCAACCGCGGATCCATGGCCCCCAAAAACAACGCCCCAAAGGGGGAGAAACGACATCGAGACGCCGCCGTTGTCCGATGCAGAGATGGATCTGAGGCTTTCGCCCGGGGCACAGGATTAAGAAGGTAACAATAGCTTCCCGATAACGCCTTCAAGAAGGGAAGCGGCGCCCGAAGGCGTCACCGTCATCGTGGCCGACAAGATCGACAGAAGGCTTTCTCCTGAAGCATCCCGTCCCAGTCATCTCCGTTGAAGCTGGTCGCTGTGCCTAGCAGCCCGAAGCCTCCCCACCCTCCTACCAGCAGGGCCGGGCCCACTGTTGAGCCAAATGTGCGGCCCGCACAGGGCCCATAATTTTGAGGGGCCCCAAATTTTATATGTAGGCCTAGTATTTTTTTTAAATAATTCCAGATCAAGGTCGCACTGGGCCGTGAGGCGTTGGAGCTGGGCCTATGTGGCTATGTCTTGA